CACATATAGAAAAAAAAAACACGCTGAAAGTACAACATGACTTTCAAGACCCTTTCTCACATCATCTGTGGGTAACAGGAAGATTCTGTTAATAAAACTTTCCTGCACAAATAATGAAACAGGAACTTAAGTTCTTCATGCAGGAAAAGTTCCTTTCCTTTATATCTTTGTATTCTTTATTTTCTTTTTCACTGTGATAGCTAAGTAGAAAAAAGCACACAGGAGAGGACATTCATGTATTGGAGAAGATAGTATTTTAATTCTTCTTGAACAATTAACCTCTTATGTGATCGGAATTCGTTATAAAGAACCACATGCAATTGCTGAAAATTACCTTCTGTTCTTCAAATAATGCTGTATTAGTTGACTGTGCCATATTTGTTAAAGTTACCATTTAGTGCCCCTTCAGGGCACTAAAAATGTACTGCTTTGGTCTTTCATCATACTTTAGACAAACGTCTCCAACCCATAGGTACGGCCAGTTTAGGATAATCACGGTATTCTGCACCACTACCTGCTGACCTGTTCTTTTTTTCAGTGGCACTGCTGTTGCTACAAGTAGGTACTGGTGGCTGTAGCAGCAGCTTTTGAATTTCCAGTTTGCAGGTTGTCATATTAAGGTTAACTATTGCCAATTTGACGTTAACACCATATGCCAGACTGTAAACTGTCTCCACACAAAGTCACAACATAAGCAACTAAGCTCCTTCTTCAACTGAAGCAAGAAGCACTGTAGCTATTGAAAAGAATGCCAGGACTCAGACTCCCACAGACAGATCAAAGTACCTAGAAATGTAAACACCAGTGAGATCATTTGTTTGCAAACCATTTTTAACTGCAAATACGGTTTAATCATCTGATTTCAGTCAGAGCCTTGAAAAAATTGCAGTCTGACATTACAAAAAATCCACCTTGCTGCTGAACTTACCTTATAATTAAATATAAATTGATGCAGTCCTCTCTTACATCATATAAATAAACATCAGTTCTGAATAAAATCATGGGAACCTCTCAGTTTCACCTCACTAGTTGTTGAAACCAAAGTCATAAAAGGAGAAAAAAGAAAAAAAGAACTGACACACTTGTTAAAAAAAATCAGGCCCAGCCACTGGCCAAGGATTGGGTGTCTCAGATTTCAGAGAAAGGCAAAGCAAGAGTATGCTAACAGAAAAAGCATCAGTTAGACATTTAGTCTTCTCATTCATTTACTAGTTAAAATAGTAATCTGGTAGTACATCTCCATTCATTTCACTTCTGTTTAGGATTCCCCCTGCCTCCCCATTAAAATAATGGAAGACAGTGTACTACTCCCGTGTAACTTTAAAAAAAAAAACAAAAAAACAAAAAAACACTAAGTACTGTAGATCTCCTCCTATAATATTCAAAAGAGGAATTATTAGTTTATCTGGCTTAAGTATTAAAGAACTGATAGCTTCTTAGTTGCAAGTATGAAGTGTTTAAATCGACCTAACAAGAAGCTACCAAAGAGTCTGAAAGTAAAACACACAGATCATCATGGCAATGGATCTGCATTTTCTTTCATTAAAAAATAAAAAGACTGCATACATGGAAATACACAGCACGTATTAGCATTGGTAAGATTTCCTCCCTATAAGAAGTCAGGTATTTCTACTATCAGTATAACATCACCATACTTCTCGTTAGACAGCAGTTTAATGAGGTAAAGCATTAACTTTACTACTACCGAGATAATCATTTTGCTGAGCAATAAAAGCAAGTTCTGATCAAAGCTGACAGGCAGTATCCCTTCTAGCCAAGGCTATGGTGTAAGCCATCCAAGCCTCCATGTGCATATCAACTCAACATGTTAAAATGCACTACACTCAAACAACACGTTTCATGATGCCTACGCGTTTGCCATAATGCTGCCACTAAGTCTGAAATTTATGCAAAGGTATCAGCCACTGGAGAATATAGCAATCTTATGATTAATTATGCATGTAATTATGATAAATGATTACTATACATACTGACATGTACAGTAATACTATATATAGACAACTGTGTTCTTCTCAAATGACACAATGAAAAATAGATAACATGCAAACTTTCAGATGATGTTAGGAGAAATAGGGTTGTTGTAAATCATTAATGGCCATTCTCCCACACGGAACCACAAAAAAAACATTCAAATTGCAGATGAGAGGTGACACTAAATGAAAGGCACATCTCCATCACCTTAATAGTAAAGGTACCTACATTTCTAGGTGTTAAGCCTTTCGGAAGGCTGATTCCAGTTCATGTTCTCTTGTTTTGGCCCATGTAACAGACAGGAATTTCCCACATGAAACAAGTAGGCTGTGTCATTAATGTTATTCCCCAATATCGACCCGTTTCCATATGCTTTCAACAGAAGGCATATTCACCATTGAGTAATAGCCTCAATGGCTTTGTAAGGCTCAGTTAAGTACTTAAGTATGACTGGTAACGTGAATGGCAGTACTGTGCAGGCTTGAGAGAACCACTGTCCTGACAGCTAAATGACCTACCAAGGCTACTGAAATGAGCAGACTTACTCTGTTAATTTACTGTCCTCTGAATGGGGGACAACAACGATGACTGTTTTGAGAATTCCATGTTAGCTTTTCCTCTGCATATTATATGTGCAGTTTATGGTTCAATTATCATTAGATGAAAAAGAATTTCTTAATCCATTACTTCCCCTCATTGCACAGATTTGATTTTTAAAAATGTATCATTTTGTATTCTATTACATACGGTAAATTTATGATGAACACTATTGTCTACAGTAACTTCTCTGGATTGGATAAATTCAGATCTGTGCTTCAAGCTCATCTGTATTCTAGGTTTACTTTTTGTAGCAATGCAGCTATCAATTTAATTACATTTCTTCCACAATCATTTTAGGTGCAGATACATTATATTGCCACTTTCTACACCTTGTGAAGAAACCAAGCTCACAAATTCTTCTAGACCTACAGACTTAATACGTGAAATACATGTCTAAATATGGCTCAACAAGCTAAAGCACAGTACTAGACCTAATGTCTAGTAATGTGCTTACCTGTACTTACACTCAACAGAATGAGTGCATCACAATGTTAATAAAGAGAAAATTACAGGACAAGAGTATTTTAAAAGATAATAATAATAATAATACAATTGCTGCTAATTCAGTAACAGAACAATAAAAAAAAAAAAAAGGGCACATGCAGGCCATCAAGAAAGTGCTTGCTTGGTCTTCTCAATGAGATTTGCTGAATTAAACACACACAAAAGAACCACCTCACATATATAAAAACCTAAAGAACGACTAACACAAATACTCACTTCCTGCCTTTATTTAGAACTTTTCTGGGGAGGTATATTCTTACCAGCTTGAAAAGAAAATTGACAACAGATTCTGTCTAAGACATGTACTATGATTTGCTTTATTTTCCATGCATAAATCATCATTCATTTCGATAAAGTCATAGTGTTTATTACTACTGCAACCTCTTACTGAGGTGATAGGAGTTGTGGCAAGCAGACATGCCATTAGCAAAAATTTCAGGCTGGGGGCGCGGGAATAACAACATTTATATTTCAATACATGTTCTACCACTTCACCATCACAATGCAATAGGAACTACTGGCATGTGTAACAATTAGCATCGCTTTTGGCAGTACAAACAAAACCACCTCACTTGCCTAGTTCAATTTATGGATACAATTTCACAGCAAGCAAGAGGCAGAATACTGGCTAAAACTATTTATTTTACTGCAAACTGCATTTCTCATTAAAGCTTGAAGTGATGGAGAGGATTTATATAAACAATAACCTCAGTAGCTTCAGACTTTTAATATAGGTTGCAAGTATTGTGTTAGACAAGCAAGACTTTTTTTTTTTTTAATAAAGCCAGATATTCAGAAATATAGTGCCCATGAAAAACAATTGTTCATTTAATTTCCTAACTACCAAGTACTGGACTTCCTAACGCTGATGTTCTCTAAGTAATTCTGCAAAAACAATTTTTATGTACATTGAGGGTATCTGGGCTTTTAATACCTGTATCAGCATACAAGCTGAATAACTGCACATTCAAGACATGTCTGATGATATGAAAGGAAGACACATGGGAAGGATGCTCGTAACAATACGACAACTATCCATTATAATGGCTCCATCTGAGTGCTAAGTGTGGCAAAGGGGAAAGTGCATGAAGGAAGTGCATGGCAGGAAGACAACTGAACGTTAACAGGAGAGGAAAGGGTGATTAAAAAAAAAACAACAAGAGACTGAGTTCAATTTTACACAAAACAAGAGGAAATGACACAAGTATATATTTAACAAAGTTTACTATGTTAATTAGAAATTACTTCCTTTCCTTCCTTTCTGTTCTGCTCTTTGACCATTGTTAAGACAACATTAAAGCTTTCACTCCATTAACTACTTCATTTATGAAGAAAAGAGAGGGAGAGCTTCTCAGTTCTTCTTTCTTTGTACTACTTGTATGTTTTTGCCAGTGCTCTTCTCTTTGCAACTTTCCACCTAGTCAAAAATTCAACTCTCGACATTTTGCACTGCTCCTAACATCACCCCTGCTGTCAGGTTTTTGCTTGTTTTACAGATTTGAAGCCAAATCTAACAGAAAACAGATTTTTTCTCTAGAGGTAACAATTAGAGAAGACTGTTGATTTCTGCACAAAGGGAACATTGAAGACCATAAGACTTCAGAAATCCTAATACAGCTAAGAATAAACAGCTGTAGAATAATCATCTTTCCCTTACTTGACAGCAAGTTTGTCATTTGACAGAAGTTACCGTCTGCCTCATATGAGAAGTTATCCCATACAATGCAACTGTGAGGCAAGCACACAGTAAAATTCTCAACCACTTTTAATTCTAAAGCATCCTTTTGGAGGACAGAACAGTTAAAGGGAAATTTTAAGTTGTTATGCAAAAGGACTGGTTTTGTTTATTTAAAAAACTAAAACTACACAAAACCATAGAAATTTTAAAGATAAATTTAACTTACCAATTGATGCATCACCATCCAAGAGATTGTCATCTTCAGACGTCTGAAAGTCCATAATTACACCTGCTCCATCTAAAAGCTCCTCATCGCTGCTTGCACTAGTTATACTGTTGTAACTGTTTCGATAGTAGCCTCTATGAAACAGCTGCTCAGACTCCATTTAGCTGCTTTATAACCTGCATAAAGAAAATGAGTTATTTTATATTTGAAAACACAAACAACTGATAAGTTTACATGAAAAATAAAACAGTATTAAGATCACAGTACTAAAAGTTACAAAAACGTAGCAGTAATACAGAATATTATACAGAACATTTTACACAAGTCCTTTGATATTTAATTGGATGATGCTTCATCATGCCCTTTCTTGGGATCTCCTTATTTTCACGATATCATCATGAAAGTATTTTACTTTCAGTAAATGTGGTTGGAATGCACATACCCAATACATATAAATGGGCACTGCACCATGGAGCTGGTATAAAATCCAGTCAATTATTAGATTAAAAAGTGACAATCTTTAGTCACGGTATTTTTGTAATATGTCTGTTTCACTCCGAAGTTGTAGTCCCTTAAACACAATTGTTCACATTCTTTTGCAGAGAAAAGCAAAAATATTCAAGTGGAAAAACATTCAGAATCTTCTGTCTATGTAAAGCTTTCAAAACCCATACATATATACCTTTGTATGTAATTAGGAAAAGGCAGCAGATGGTTTTGCACGTTTGGTAGCAAGTTCTGCAGAAGACTGAACACACCAGGGCTTTCACAGACGAAGACATATTCGTCCTTTGCCTTGCAAAGTGAAACCCATAGCAATTACTTCATGATCAGGGTGGGACAAAGGGGTATGTTGTGACCACACCCTGATTCCATGCTCTTATCTTGGAAGACAAGGCTTTCCCTTTTCCAAATTTCTACACTAAGTTGGATTTGCAACAGTAATGGGGAGGTATAAATGAGGTTCAATCTTTATCCCATAGCTTCCTGAGCACACTATTTTCACTCAGTTGGGTGCTTGAAAAGCATCTATTTCGATCACCCCACCTAATTAAGAGCTATTAGGCTCCTGCCTTTCTAAAACTCTGAACATTTGCTAGCATTGTTTTCCCAAAAAAAGATATAATTGGCAGGGGAGTTTATAATTAAGACCATTTTGGCAATGACTGTATCATTTTTACAAAATATTTTATATTCACATGCAGTACATGACACTAAAGCATCTTGTACCTTTTCAGCAATAATAAAATTTCATTCCCTCCAAACAAAGGAGATGGCCTTCCATCTCCCTCCAGATCTTCTCCTTATGCACTGTTTCCTCTGCTCATCATCACATTCTCTACCCATTCACTGTAACTGCTACAAGGCTATATGCACCATAAACATCCAGCCAGCTGGCAGCTCTAAAAATACATTATAGGACTTCTAATTCCTATCTCCCTCATCTACCCAGCTGTTGAGCCTTGTGAAGTAGAGCTGAACTGGTTGGCCAATGTCAAGAGTTATTAGTAGAGGTCAAACAGCTTTCTCCTATTGGCAAACAGCTTAGCCCTCTGAAGAGCAAACTAGTTACTGAAAAGAGGTGAAAAGTGAAGTGACAAAGTTTGCAGGGTAGCTGCAGACAGAACTGTCAGCACTGAGCAGCTGGGTGATAACATGAGATAGAACTCTCTACTGGTAGCCACAAATTGAGTCACACTGCAGGTAGGGAGGAGAGGGAGGCAACAGAGCCAATCCTAATTTACCCTGTGGGTTCTGATGGGACTACTGCCATTCCCAAATTAAATGGTACAGTTACAAGGAAGAGCCCAACATGCACCAGCAGTCCCCAGATTAATCAGATACAAAGTACTATCAGGTACAGGAGGGAACTTCATACCACCAAAAGTACTACAGAAGAGCTAAAACAGGTTACAAAAGATCACAATGATGACAGAGTACAAAACAGCTTTACTTCTACAGGGCGACAAAATGGATCAGGGCTCTTCAGTCTGGAAAGATGTAACATGGAAGACAATATCAGAGGGAGAAAAAACAAAACATGAAAAGCTCTGGTAGGAATACTGGAGGCCAAGAGAGAAGTGCATATGCTTATTCTCTTCTTAAACTCTTCCCTAGAGATCATCTATTGGTCAAAACAAATCCCTTTGGTTTGAGCATTCTCACTCCCTTAAAAAAACTGTCAGAATATTTACAATTTAAAACATGCCTTCTCTTCAAACACATTTCTTTCATCCCTGTGTGAGGATTCTTCTTACCATTTTACAGGCACTGAGAAAAACTCCTTAATGGACAGCCAAGAAAATTTCACACTATCATATGATGAAGCACATCCTGACTGAAAATACATCTGCTTACACCTGGAAGCATCTCCATTTTCCCCAAAATAGATCAGATTGTGATAATTTATTCAGAAGCTACACTTAGAATGATGCAATAGATACAAGTTGTCGTACGGTAATTTTGGTCTTCCCATACAGTACCTACAAAGAACATTGCAGAAGAGGTCAGATCATAAGCAGCCCAACTATTTTGCCATCATGCTTACAGAAACTTCTGTTAACAGGATCAGTTGGGTACTATCATAATGGAAGACATACAGCAGAGCTGAACTGAGAGCTTTTGGACTTGCTAGACGTGTATGTGCTCCCTGCATTGTCACCTTTCTCCACAATGAAGGAAGAACATTTTAAGTCTCTTTCATATATATATATATATATTTAAAATAAATATAATAAAAATATGAAATATAAAAATAAAATTTTCTTTATATTGAGCTCCACAACTTCAGTTAATCTTACCACAAGCCTGCTATTCATAGTAAGGGGTATAACTCCCCTTTTGCAGGTCTATTTAATAACTTTGCAGAAATGTCAGAGCAGTGCACTACAGCTATTAAATCTTCCGAAAACCCAGAAAATGCTTTGAACCTGGTCTACAATAGACTAGAACATTCAATCAGTCAGAAACTGACAGATAAAACCAACAGACGCCCCAGAGCCAGACCAAGCATACCATGAGGAGTCCTGCATGCCAACTCCTCCAGCACACACATGCCTGCAGTTCCATGGCATGGCATGATATCACAGGCCTTCTCCTCTCATTTTGAAATACCGTGTCTCCTTCTGCAGACTGACCTCTTGAACAAGCAAGCAGAAGCTGTGACACCCAAACCATTCCTGCCGAGCACCCTAACCACGATTAAGAGTTGTACGTTCATTCTCTGTATTCCCTGAGGCGGGTACCTGAACTGCTTCGTATCTGACATGGTGTTACAGATTACTGCCTTCCAGCAGCACGCAGCAAAGCTGGGAAATGAAGGCCATCAGAAAGTCAGAGCTCAATAAGCTTCACACAGGACTGAAGTTTTTCTTGTTAAGAGCATGTCAGTCACTGGTTTGCCCACCACCTCCACCCGCAATTAAGAGTGTGGGGATGACAGCTGAGGTCAACACACAACACATTTCCTTGTGTGCCTTTAAGAGAAGGGCTTGTTTAACAAACTGGGACACAAAGTTAGGGATGCACCACCTCGAGCTATGTTAAGTGTCAATTTAAAAGCTCATGTGACCTTAAAATACTGTTATAACATGCAGAAGGTCTGCCTTGCCAAGGAAGCAGAGGGTGTGGACAGAGCAAGCACACTCCTCCTCCAAAGCCGACTGCTGAGAACAGCAGTAAGAATGGGAAGGAGGAGCCAGCAGGGAGTTTTTGTGTGGCTACAACTGCCAGAGGATAACCAGACTCGTGCCCAACCCAGGCCAGTGGGGATTATCTTTTGTGGATGCTGGAAGGCTGCATTTACACTCAGCAGCCTGCACAAATGCTTACAGAGTTGTAAAGAGGGAGAACAGAGCAGAGGCAATGAACCAGACAGCCTGCTGTTTTATATGGTCAGATTCAGCCCGCAGATTCCCTGCCCTATCCAAATCAGCACTAAAGGGCAAGTGGGAGAAAGATGGGGTTACTGAAGAGAAACTTCAAGCAGGAAAACAAGGTATCTGAATGCCAGTGAAGCCCAACACCCTGAAAAAACAAATAAGATAAACCATGCCTGATTTCCAGCAACTACTCGTTGCCCTAAGTATTTAATAGATCTTTTTTTTCAGCCTAGATTACTGTAACAATGCAAGATAGAGGGTTTATGAGAACACTAAAGGTATTACACTCAGCATTTTTAAGAAGCATCATAGTTTTCACAGAGTATGGTTCAGATCATAGAAAGCAGACTCAAAAAGCTTTCAGACTTTGAAAAAAAGAAAAGTAGAGAAATACTGCACTGTAAGAATACAGTAAGAAAATCTAAGCAATAATCAGGGAGCTCTTGAAACAAAGAATTCAATCCCACACATATACCCAAGTCTTCTGCAAAAAGAGTGTAAGGTGCAACTAATCAGTCACACTAGCATATTTCCAGGATGTGCTGATCCATCAAAACTCTTCTATAAAGCAAGCTAACAGAGAAGCCTCTGACAGTAAAACAATAAAAAAAAAAAGAGAAAAAATAAATACATCATTAAAAAAATAAAACAGTATCTCACCTGCTACAACTAAGGAGAGGGAAGAGAGCAATGAGCATCCAGGTAGAGCAAATTGTACGCGATGTAATTAAGTACAGCGCAGACAGGAACTACACTGGTAAAGGGGAACAGCACAGAAACAGCTACACGTATAGTCGACAAAGCACATAAAGCTGTTTGTTTTCCGTACACTTCAGTACCTCAGGCGATTTTCTTGTCCTCAAACAACAGACATCCTGCTTATCTTTCAAGCCCTACAAAGGAAAGGTCAAGCAGAGAAGTCAGCTGAGGGAACCACTTGCAGAGCAGTGAAGTGTCTCTGGAGAAGATGGACCAGGACAATAAGAAATCTGATTTACAGGACAGTTGTTGTCAGGCAATTCGCATAATCTGTAAATGTCTGGTATGTGCTCTATTGCCCCATAAAAACATAAGAACACTTTTCTGTATCTCAAAGGGCAGGAAACAAAAGACATTTTAACTTTTTACTGTCCTGGGATGTGTAGAAGGGGGTGGGTGAGAACTCAAAGCTAGATTCCAAACCTGCTTTAAATAGCTGAAAGAAAAAGCTGCTTTTTTTTTTTTTTTTTTTTTAATATAAGAAGAATCAACAATAAAACACCACATAGTGTTGAAAAATGATCTTGTTAACAGAA